CGCTTCTGCCCGTGCTTTGATGCCTCTGGCTCCAACATGGGTGGCAACATTCAGGAGCTACCGGCTTTGAGCAGCAGCGAGATCCACTATGATGCAGGTGCAAATGCAACCGACACAATTCTACCAGATACAGGCAGCAGTGTGAACACCGGAGACGTAAGCCTCAGCATGAAGCTTTGCGGCCACTTTTTGAGCATGCTCAGCATCCTTTTCTTCCTTACCTGTTGAGCTTGCTGGCATTGCTGCCAGCCTCACGCGTCCTGCGGGTTTTGTTACTTTGCCTTCGTTTCCCTTGGCTGAGATCCCATGGGGGATTCTGAATGGGAGGGTTGCAAACGGCATGGAGTACGGTGCTTCCAGCCAAAGGTTGGAAGTGGTTCCCATTTTCTTGGATATCAAAAGCACCCGTTTTGACGGAGCTTTTTGTGCTGAACTTTGCCGTCTCTGCCATTGCGCAGGGAGCGGCATTAGATCAGTGCTTGTGAGCCAGTATTGTTTTGCAGCTTTGCTTGGCATGCATGACATAGGGACACATTCAGTTAATCGGGCCCATCTCACCTCTCAGCATTTTCAGGCGAGCTCGGTGTTGTGGTGGAACACCATGGCTACCGATTTGGCCTGTCAGTTTTTTGAGGAGTGAGCCGGCGTGATGTGTCGAAATGTCCCACAGTTTGATTGTAGTGCTGGGATTCTTGGGCAACGGGTATGTCTGTCTTCTCGTCTTACCGTCTTGCCACCTCTCCGACCCGCAAATCGGCCCTGGCTCCTGGTGTTTGCTGGATGTGAGGTGAGTTCCTTGACCAGTATGGGCTTCAGTGAGGGCCAGGTGGGGGGCCCAGCTTGACGGCTGACAGAGAACAAAGTCATGGGCTCGCGGCGAGCCAGGGATCCTTAGTTGCCATGCGCGGTTGCTCGCATTCCCTCATGGCGATTTTCGTGTGGGCGGACTATATACGTGACTAGGACCAGGCTCTAGCCAACTGCCGGTCCGCACCGCACGGGGGCTGCTCCGGCCTCGATCTCGAGGTGCGGGACGTTCTCCAGAGGACTGCAGGCGTCGCCAGCTCAGAAGAGCAACAAAAAATAGAAAGAAACATGGACGGAGGCTTCACTGACACAAGCAAAAGACGATGAACATGATGCATCATATGCACCCCTCCCGAGTGGTACAGTCAGGAGCGTTGCTTGAGGCAATAATGTCCATGCTGGCAAGTCGGATGTGAGAATTTGAAGATGATGGACATAGAACGTTTGGCTCACACTGCGACAGGCGTCGAGACCATAGGCTGTGTAGGACGTATCACCTGATGCCATCCGACTGCTCCGACATGTTAGGACGCAGCATAAGCCCCACGAAGCGATCGGGTATTCGACTGGAAGTTGTTTTGGACCATGACACTCCGCTGGCCTCGAACAGAAGAGCAGAACCAACCACACAAAAGAACCCTCTTAGGCAGTGCCACAGTGTCACTGTGATGTGTTTTGGTCGTCTCGTCAGGCCAGCGGGAGTTGGCCCCTGAAACCTGAAAGAACTTCGGACTTGATTGATTGCCATGCAGATATAGAACCAAAGCAGCACATGAGAACAAAGATAAGAACCAAAGCAGCGCCTGGAACAGCCTCTACATCGGATCCCTCACCCAGCAGCCTTAGAACATCGGTCGACGTCGCCGTCCACACGTCGTCACTGGTCCGTCCACCGTCCGTCGACGTCCACCGTGCGGGGTACCACGTTCAATGGAGCCATGGCTCGCGAGAGTCCGGAGATCGGAGATGCAGAGGGCAGCTTGGAGGCGATGCCGTCCTGCAAGGACAGGTGGCGTGCCCTTTGACCGCGGGCCTTGCAAAACTAAGGGGGGCAACTGATTTTGACATTTGCTGTGCTGCCGCAGGTTTTCAAGGGTGTTTGCACGATTTTGCGAGTTTTCTGGCCAAACCCACATGACAAGTTCGTGATCAAGGCTGTTTTTATTGTGAACAGTGTCCACGCGACTGCCTGAACTGGAGGATGATGAGAAGTTGGCCTATCGCCGGCTCAAGTTGCTGGGGCAAGGTTCCTTTGGAAAGGCCTTCTTGGCCAGGGATCTCTCAAACAATGAGCTCGTGGTGATGAAGCAGGCACTCCTTCGAGTCATAGAGCCCGATGCCAGATAGTATTGCGAGTATTGTGTGGATGAAGGTGTAGAGTTATACCCTCCCTCAAACAATCATGGAAGCTGAGCGGACGGACAATTGGTCTTCCAGGGGTCTATGTTCCACTTCCATGATTGTTTCGGGGAGTGTGTATATATATATATACATACTTGAATAGGAATTTCGAGGGGTAGAGTTACTGAGTTACTTGCTTTGCAATACTAGTGGCCTCTAAGGACCTCCAGTTGGAAGAGGATTTGTCGTCTGTTGGACGAGGGTGGGGCTACATTGGCCATGAGAGCATACCTGCTCATATTGTGGCCACCCGAATTGCTTTCGGTCGTGGCACCAGATATAAACAAACATTGAGAGGTAAGTTGCAAGACAGCCCATATTGTTCAGTGCTGCTTCGGACTGGGCCATTGTTGAGTGGTTGTTCAGATGGACGAGCATTGCACATATCATGCAAACAGGTTGCTTGCACCCGAGAATCCAAGCTACAAAGCCCTGCAACATCCTGCAACTCAGTTCGGAGTTGGAGGGGTTTGTATGCAGTGGTGCAGTGTTAGGATCGAATCCGATTGGCTTCATGGTACGATGTACGCAGTACTTCTTTAAAGGTTTTTTTCCCCGGTGGGTGAGCAAGTAGCGATGGCCTCCAAGCCCGTGAGCGAGCACATCGAGAGGTGGAAGTGGAAAAGATGGATAGCAAGGCCGGGACGCACAGCAGATCAACAGGATTCACAGCAGGACTGGAACTCCTCGACGAACAACACTGACACTTTCTCTTACACACTTCGCCCACTCAAGTGGTTTTTGGTTGGTGTCTCGAAGTAGGTCTCCTGAGGTCTCCTTGCTTTTTGAAACGCTTTGCTCCTTGACTTCACTTCCGACCCTTCCGACTTCGGCTTCTTCGGCTTCTTCGGCTTCACGAGGCACGCGACACCGCGGTGCGCGAGGCGGTGGCCCTGCGCCGGGTGCAGCATCCCAATGTGGTTCGCTTTCGAGAGGCGGGCGTTCGGTCCCTTCGGTGAGGGTCCTGCAGAGTTCTTTTAAGTGCGGCACTTTCTTGGATCGTCTTTGAGGTGGATTTTGGATCGCATGCTTTCTTCCCCGGCTATAGATCGCTCCCCGACTCTAAAGCAGAGTCTCGAAGACATCAGTTGAGGTCTTCGTGCGTTCGGGCTGGCTGTGCCTGGTCATGGATTTCGCCGATGGCGGGGATTTGTGTGCCGCCATCAAGGCCGGTCGGGGGGGGTGACTGACGCGCGTCGAGAGTTGGCAACGCCGTAGAGGGACCGGGACCTGTCATTCATGAGCTTTTTGCTGCATTGTGTATGCAGTGTAATCAATATTTTGATATATATATATATTAATTACATTTGTATTATTAATCAAATTAACTGATATGTAAATGCTGATTGACGAGAAGTCCTAGCCAAACATCATGGTGGCGAAACGTCATTTGGATGAGCCGACAAGAATCGACAAGAAGCCAAGTCGCAAGAGTCGCAAGAATGCACTTCGAATTCTTTTTCGGTTTCCAGCAGTCTGCAGCAAGTTCTGACCAATTCCGCATTGCAAGCATCAAGGCTTGCGTCTAAGCACATGGATTGTGCCACACGTTTGTGCACTTGGGGCGAAAAGGCACTTGCGTCTAGGAAATCCTCCGACCTGTCATCCGACTGGCCCTGCAAGTCAAGTGGTTTTTTGCATTGGGCCCCCGGATGCCAAGAAATCATCTTCCACAGACCTGCAGATTCGCTGACTCATGACTATCCCCCTGACCTCAGCTGCGCTCTCCATCCTTTCAATTTCAGCGCTGTCCACATGTTCAGGACCGTGCCAAGACAGGCGCTCCCTTCGAGGAGTGCGCAGTCTTGGAGTGCTTCAGCCAGGTGGGCTCGGTCGGTCGGAGACTGGCGAATCGATCGGTTGGGAGGTCTGAAGCAAAGGGTCAAAGAGATTGGACACGCTTCCGACGCTTCCAGCTGTAGGTTTCATTCACTCCGATTCGCATAGTTTCTGCATGTTTTGCAGTCTTGGTTTCCGAGCTGTTGCGGCAGCTGCACACATTCTTTTCACCACCTGTCCTGCAGTTTTTGAACACCCGTTTTCACCCACGGCCGCTTGGACCGGGACCTCCTACCTCGCCAGGTCTGCGATGCAGTGAGTTTCGTCCACAGCCTGAAGATGGTGCATCGGGACATCAAGTCGAGGAACATCTTCCTCTGCAGGACCCGACGTCGCTCCGCCGAAGAAAGTGGTCTCCTTGAAAGTGAAGGGAAGGATTGCCTAGAGGTCCTATGCCAGCCCTCTGGCCGAAAAGTAGCCAAGAAGGGTACTGGCTGATAGGAAGGCCTCCTTCAATCATCTTTCTTGTTCTTTTTCCTGTCGCTGAACATCCGCACGGTGTCTTCATGCTGCCCAGCCCAAGTCGGACGGGGACTTCGTGCCAGGACGGGGCGGGCCTTACTGGGCGACTTCGGATTGGTGAGACTGCTGGAATCCACCTGTGATCTGGCGCACACCCGCGTGGGGACGCCCTATTATCTCAGCCCGGAGCTCCTCAACTGAGCCAATGCCACGGTTTTGTTTCCGTGAAAAACGGGATGTTGGATTGAAACCGGAATGTTGGATTCAAGACCTTTCTGAGTATATATATATATATATATCTGAATATTCCTTTCGGTGGACACTTTGAGTGAGTCCGGTCAAGCTGTGACTGTTGCATTTTACACCGACATCTACTCTACCCGAGGATCATTCGCAAAGAGCCTTACAACTACAAAACTGATGTGTGGAGCTTGGGCGTTTTGCTGTACGAAGCTTGGCTGGAGAAGGGTTGCATCGCGAATGCCAGATTTTCAGCCATTTCAGAGCGGGCTTTTGATAAGGGTCTGAACTTGTGAATGTCATCTCACCTCTCCACTGGTATGGCCATGGCCGACTTGGACCGTCACCGGTGGCGACCGGCTAGGAGATGGCGGCCTTGAAGCGGCCCTTCGTCGGCACCTTGGAGACTTTGCCGAAGATCATCATCAAAGGCGAGCCTTGGCGGTCGAGTTGATGCGAGACCAAGGCCAGATCGACGTTGTTGCAAGCGGTCAGTGACGGTCAGTGCCAATTAGAGGGGTGGCTTAAGAGCTCAGGGTGGCTTAGAAGTGAGATAGTAGCATGAGTCATACGTCCTAGCATGTCGTAGTGCAAATTTGATGTCCTTGGACCTTGGACCGGATATGTTGATTGATACTCACCTCAGAGCCACCCAAAGCTATTTTGCAGGCTGTTCATCTCACCCAGTGGCTCCGACTTCCACCGAACCATCCCGCAGGCGACTGCGTGATTTCACTCACGTCCGGCCACTCTGAACACCCGCGTGGCTGAAAACCCCGTCCGGTGCCGAGGAATACGAAGCTTTGGGATCTCACTACAGCCCTCAGCTCCACGAGCTGGTGGCGCGGATGCTGGTGGTGGAGCCCTCCCACCGTTTGGACCTGCCCAGTGCCCTGAGGCCCGTGGGGGGTTTGGGCGGTAGACTTCGATAGCTGTCACCCACGGCAGCCCTTGATGGCGCAGTGTTGAGCCACAGCATTTTAATGGAACCGTGAGATTGTTGTGGCCCTAGGGGTTGGAAGCATGCAAGCTTATAATCCGTGACATTTTTCTGGTGCAGTCGCTCACTCCCCCACTCCGGTGCTTTTTATCCGTGAAACGATGGATGATCAGAGGGCCTTTGAGCGCTCTTCTCAACCTGGCTTGGAGATGTAGCTACAACAGATAGAGCGTTGAGCTAATCCCAAGACTGCTTGTGCATTTCAAGATCCATGAAAGCCAACTACACTGACTTTTCCCGCAATTCACTGAATACATACATCTGAAAACCATCACGTTTGTTCGGACGCTGGCCACTTGTTGGAGTGCAGCGCACCTACGTTGCAACCCAGTGATGCTGCGCAAGAGCTCCGGAGCTCAGCTCCGCTCAGCTCCGCTCAGCGCCAGGGACGAGCCGCTGGCGGCGCCCTTGCGGCGCTCGCAGGAAGCTTTGGGCCTCGTGGTGCGCAAGGCACGGGACCGTTGCGGGCGGTTGAGCCAGGATGGAACAGGGCCGGAGTGGTCGAAGTGGTGACGCTCCAAGTTTTTTTTCCCCTTTTCGCATGGCCAGGTTGTAGGGGTCAGATCCACGCGAAGTCGCGAAGTGGTTGGGATTTCAATCAGGGGGGGCAGGGGATTGCCCAACTGTCGTGTGGACGCTCAAACCTAGCTAATTATATACATAGAGAGTTGCGTGATTTGTAATGGAGGAGGAAGGAAGCCGTAGTCCTGTTTTGTTCCCGCTGTTCAACTGAGAGCCGCAAATGCCACGAGTTGAGAGGCGAGTCTCGTAGACCATTAGACTATAATAAGTATAATATATACCGCATTGTCATCATCCCCGTTTGTCACCGTCACCATCATCAACTGTGGACTCATGATGTCAAGCTCGAAATCGAACAAACATCTTCTCTCTCTCAGGAGATTCAGGAGGAGCCGGTGACCTCCGGAACCTCAGAGTGGATCGGCTACAATACCATGATCCGCTCCAAGGAGAAAGACAAGGCCTTGGTCGAGACCTCCCCCGCCCACGGGCCCGAGCCGGAGGGCAGCCCGGAGGGCTGGAGCACGGCGCCGGCGGTCGATCTGGAGGAGGAGCTCAACGCCTCAGACGACAGCTGGGGATCCGTGGTGGACACCGGAGTGGAGGCCCTGCAACACCTGGTGCAGGATGTGGGGCGATACGCCTGAGGTCCGAAAAAGGAAGCCAGACTGGGTGGGGGTGTGGGCTGGGAGTTCTGGGGATAGACCGTCCAACCGGTTTTTCTTGGCTTGGATACTGCTGAGGATCCTTCGGCCGGATAAGGACGCAACTTCTTGTCCCATCACAGCGATAAGCCACCCTCAAGAGATTCGTTCCTCACGTCAGACCACTTCTGTGCTCATCCCCCTCCCTCCCGATCCGTCTGGATGGCCCACATACTCTCCGAGGATCTGTCGAAGGCGCTGGACGAGCTCATGGGCGCCTCGCGCCCGGAAACCTCAGCCCTCGATGATGGACGTGTGACCGGGATGGAGGAGAAGGTGCCTGTTCAGCCGAGGGATGTCTGATGCCTGCTAAAAATCTTTGGCTCTGCTCGGGGCCCAGCATTTGATGTTCAAAACGGGTAATCTTTGCGTATATTCTGATTTTGAGGCACGACCTTCTGAGCCTCTGACATAGAGGGCAACGGGGGAGGTTTTCCTCGGTGGACCTGGACCATTCAGATCAAGCATCAAGTAGAGCTGAGTTTTGCAGTGACCTGTGGGTGAAGGGTTTTTGCAAAGGCAATCCCAGCGTTGAAACAAATCCTGCAACACCTTAGATGGATTCCTCAATGGGAAGCTCGCACTATTCACCGTGTCTTGGAGCGGAAGGATGGTTTGATTCCCCAATGCCAGTTGGCGTGGGCCTTGCTGAACAATATGTTCAACATTGTTCAACACTTTCTATTTTTTCTGGATCTCATGGCAGCTTCACAAACTGGCTTCTTACTTCTTAGTGATGACCCGCACCAAGTTGGATCCATGCAAATCCTCGACATCCAAACTGAAAGAGGGCGCTTTCTCTCAGGTGGCGCTGCGGGCGGCGCAGCCTCTGGGAGTGGAAGGCACGATGAGCCCAGACTTTTAAAGCCAAACGCATCTTTCGCCGTTTTGGGGGAAAGGTGGCATACTTCGGGGGGTAGGCACGTCCAACATTCATCAAAGAGCAAGACCTTCCACGGATCCATTGGTCAAGCTGAGACATTCACTGCACTATACAGTATCGCCATCAGCTCCGCCAAAGGGCATCCTGGCCATTTCCAAGGTTTCCCACAAACAAATACGGGTGTGTATTTTCATAGGGGGATAGACCTCCAACCCCATGGTTTTTTCGGCAATTTTTCTTCTTCCAGGGTATTTGAAAGACCGTCTCCCTTGTTGTCCTGCACAGTCTGCTTGAGACCTCCGTGCGACGTCGCGGCTCGAGGCTTTAGAAACGGCCAGGAGAAGGCAAGGTGATCCTCCAACGAAATATGATTGGTCGGTGCTTCCGTTCAGGCCCTGCTGGATGTCTCCACTTCTCTCTTAAATGGGTCCTCCACACAGCTCCATTCTATTGCTTGAGGAGCATGTATGGCCAGGCCGTAGGGGGTTGCGGAAGATGTTTTGAATGAAGCCTGGGTTGAGGATGAACCAGTCAACCTCAGCAAACCTCCACCTCTGAGGGAGGGGACATGGTGATCCTCACAAGTCACAAGTCATAGTGACGTGAGGCTCTTCAAGTCACAGTGCGACAAGCGGTTCCATGTGCGGGTCTCGATTAGGGCTGTGTTGTCGAGCCATGCCTCAGCACATGTAGCGGGTTGCCCTGCCATGCCTCGGCGGCAGAGCCAAAAGACAAGCTCAGTGCTTCACGGCGGCGCAGGTGGCAGGGAATCTCGCTCAGTGCTTCTGTTGGGAGAGGCCAATTTTTCTTTTGCCTTAGCCCTGCGATTGCTTTTGGAACGGCCTGCAGCTCCAACGGCAACATCTGCGAAGGATCTAGAGCAACAAAGGGCCGTGGAAGAGCTTTTCACAGAACAGCTTACGAGCGTGTCCCAATATTTGCACTTGCCGTGCGAGCTGTGCCAGCAAACCAGGATCACTGCGAGTTGCTACGAAGCACATGGCGAGTTGACCGAGAAGTATCCTGAAAGTGTTGGCATACTTTCTCGCCTCGCGCCCTTGGGTGTTGAGGTGCGCTTTTCGGTGAACGCTTGGGACTTGAAGACGTCCTTTGGCGATCAAGTGTGGGATGTCATTGCTTGGAATCATCCCCACTTGGGCACCGAGGACTTCAAGCTGCACCGCTTCTTGTTGGCCCACTTCTTTGCCGCCGTCACCGAGCACCTCGTCCCTGATGGCCGGGTGGTGTTGACACTGTTGGAAGGCCAAGAGAAGCGCTGGGAGATCCTGGAGCAGGCCGCGCGGCACGGCTTCGCACTGCTTCGCGATCCGGTGCTCTTCTCCGCCGCTGCCTTCCCAGGCTACGAGAGCAAGAGAAACAGCACAGGCAGGTCCTTCAAAAACCTGCCCACGCAACGAATGGCCCCTGGCAGCATGAGGAGTTGGACCTACCATCTCCAACTCCATGCGGACAAGGCTCCAATCTCCATGCCGAGCGCCTCTCCTACAAAGGTCCTGAAGCTTACGTCAACATGTGAGTTTTGTGGTAAGGGCTTCTCCTCGGCACAAGGCCTCAAGACTCACACGCGGCAGGTGGGGGATGGGAGAGGTTTCATGAGACCTCGCGCGCGCGCAATGCAGGTATTTCGTTGTCATCCCTTTGGTTTCAACTGGTGCCCCCGCCCCCCCAATTAAAACAACCCGCTCCGCCCAATGATCCACTGGAGCCGCCCTTCTGTGTCGCCCTTCTGTGTCGCAGGTTCATGAGCTGAAGAAGTATGGCGACCGGACGGGGCCGGCCAAAGCTTTTGCCTGTGAGGTTTGCGACCGAACTTTCAGTGATGCGGAGGCGCTCCAGCAACACCGCGCCGCCGCGCACGGCACGAGCACCGCACCGACGGCTCGGCCGCGGAGTGTGGAGGGCGGGTACAGCCTGCGGAGCTGCAAGGTCTGTGGGATGTCACTGCCCTTGGGGATGTCGATGGCGGCTCATTTGGAGGCCTTGAAACCATGTGGGGACCTTCCCTATGCATGCGTGTGCGGCCGAGCATTTGTGGAGTTGAGGGCGGTGGAGCAGCACCAAAGGTCCTGCAAGCAGCATTTGGAGGGTCAACACTCAAGGCGCTGGGTGGCCTTACTGGCTCGATTGAGCCAACGATGCTGTGGACGCTGAGCCCATGTGCCTGACGGGTGCGAACGAGCTGACACGGCGACGAAACCAAAGAGGTGCGCAGCATCGGGCAGGACACATCTATGTTTGAGGGAAGGTGAGCACAGACCATCATCAGTGTCCTTAAACGCCTTAAACTTTAAAGTTTACAGTTTACTTCAATTATCAAGTTCATTGCCCCAATTGCTCCTGCAGGGTTGTGTACATCTCCTTCTAGGGACAATTTCACTTGCATGGAAGACCTGAGCATTCAATCCTTGTCATCTTGAGAGCTGCCGCCTCCCGTCATTTTGTGTGCATGCAGTGCAGTCCTAAATCCAAGGTTCATTTATGAATGCCGGACATTGGCTCAAATGTTGCTGAGAGCTGGATCCCCTTTAGTTACGGTGGTTCAGCAAGCGGTGGTATTTGCAAGGTTCCTAGATATTAGGCCTCTGCTCTGCGTCACGAGTTCCACATCCAAGTTTTGCTGCTCTGCCCATCTCTGCCACAACTGTTTATGACCTTTGGGAGGGGGTTCAGGCCCACGCACACTCGCCCGACACGCTACTCCGCATGGCCCATGCTGCTACATGTGCGCTGGCACGGCTTTGTGCTCGTGGTGGTTCGAGCCGGTCTGGTGCAAATCTTGTCCATTGACCCGCAAAACACCAATTCATGTCCTGCAGATTGGCAACTCACAACTGAAGGCTCCGGGAACCAGGTTTGCGTCCGCTCTGGCTTCCCCTCCTCCTCGGTGCTGATCGACTCCTATGCTGCGATGGTGGCGGAGAACAACATCAAGGGCCGCAGGATCTTCGATCGGATCACTGGAACAGGGCAGATCTATCAGAAGGGCTCCACTGATGCCTTTGAGACAGGCACCCGCGATGTCTCCAGCATTGATTCCAGCCCCTGGGTGAATCAGGGAGATCAAAGTTGCAAGAGGCAAACATTTATGTTGCCTAAGGCAGCGCCTGTGTTCTCAATCAGCCCTCCTTTCGCATCCTTTTGAGGTGACTATGTGGATGGCATGTCCATCACCATGGGAACGCCGCGAAGTCACATTTTCACCTTGGCCCTGGGCACCTCCTATGACACTGCCCTGGGCACTGCTGGCATGTGCCCCTGTGGCAGCGGGACGCAAAGCTTGCAGCGGCTCGGTCAGCTGAAGTCGGGATGCAGACGGGTCCCGATGATGCGTCAGGCTTTTGATTTTCTTGGGGTCCACAACACAATCCCCACAGCATTTCCTAGTTTAGGTACGTTCCCGTACTGGCATCTTCTGCATGACTGATTCAGGTTCCACAAGTGCCACGGGTGGTTGCGATGGTTCCCAAGAAGTTCCTGGAAACTACACTCCTGATGAACACATCGCAAAAAGTTGATGATATGACTTCTGCCCAGTAAATCGGAATAGGAATTACTGTAGAATTAGACCGATGCTTTCTTTGACCAACCCCCTTTGCTGTTCGCCCGCTTTCACTCCTGCTGTTGGAACGGCATCACCAACCACCGAGGTGCGGAGGCGATGCGGTGCCGGCCTTCCTCGCGGGCCAGGCGGATTCCGCGGCGGATTCCGCGCGGGCCGGAAGGTGTCGTTTTGGACTAGACAGCTTAGCGCTTAGCTGGGTACCTAGTCTAGTTGGCCTGGGGGCCAACTAGACAGTGCTTAGCGCTTAGCTACAGCTTAGCGCTTAGCTGGGTACCTAGCTAGGTACCCAACTAGGTAGCTTAGCGCTTAGCTACAGCTTAGCGCTTAGCTATGTATATTTTTTTGGGGGGTCCAATTGGACTGTGATGAGCCATGGGTGTATGATTCACCTGTGAATCCCTGAAAGATGGAGCCTCTCTACAAACCTGCCTCGGTGTCCACCGTGTTTCAGCCCATCCGAAACCGAGACGATGACCGAGACCGTTCGGTGTCCCTTCGATCCGGTGGCCCATCATGTGTCCAGAGAGCTAAGCAGCTAAGCTTGGGGGGTGTGAAAGTGAACTAACATGGTAATCTTCCATGGAGGCATCGGAAGCACCTTGCTTTTATATACTTGAGCCCCTTGCCCCAAAAGTAACTCGAGAAATCTTGGCCCATCATGATGGTCAAGCAGCTTGCAGCCCGCCAGTGAAGGTCAGACCGAACTGCTTGCAAAGAGGACACCTCCATGTGACAACGGTTGATGGTTACCTCATTCTCAGTTAGAAGCCATGGACGCGTGAGACCCGCCGGACCCTCATGCATGCCGTTTTCGCGTGACCCGCGGATGCGCGTGCGGGCCCAGGAGGTGATCTGTGACTCGGGGACCTTGGGCTCCGCCAGCTTGGCGTGGGGCAGCCGCGTGGTGTCGATCAACTTCGACGTGAGCCTCTCGGTGACCTCTGAGAGCTTCGAGGCGAATCGGAGCGGTCATGGAGCGTCTGTTAGTGGAGAAGAGCAAAGAGGTGGACCGTGGAGAAGAGGTGGAAGGAGGAGACATGCAACTGTAAGATGTTGTAAGTAAGAATGCGCTTGAGTGACTTTCTGTTTGTGATCCTTTTACAGTCCTGAAGTATCTCACTCTGTTGATCTTCTGAACCGTCGGAACTGGAAAGAGAGACTCAAGACTTCGCAGGTGCGTCTCATGTGCGACAGCGTCCGGCCGCCCAGATCGAGGAAGTCCTGAATCGAATCGAGGAAGTCCTGGATGTTGTAAAACTTGGGGTTGGCGTTTAGGCCGAGAGGTGAAAGAGTAGTAGCTGAGTAGCTGGATGATGCTGAAATATGCTGAACTATTATGCCAGGTTTGTGGCACCGATTGGTTGCACCTTGTCATGTGTGTGTTTTCCCCTTGTTTTTCGAAGAATGGCAGTTCTAAGGTGAGCTCTAATGAAGATGTGGGAATCTTGGAGCTCTTCCTCAATGTCGATGAGATAGAGGACCACCAAGCAGCTCGAACAGTGCCCCACCAAAAAGCTCCAGGGACGGATGTCGTTTCGGTACTAGGCAGGCCTCTCACAAACAATTTGAACGACAAACCATGTTCGCCGGTGAATACAGCCATGTAGCAAAACAGTACAGCAACACGAGTATCTCACTCGGTTTTCATGAAGCTTTTGCTCCTGGATCTTCTTTGACGAGAAGTCTTGGGGTTGCGTTGGGCAGGACACCACGGCGCCTGTGCTCAGCCTACTTGGAGCCACGACTCTCAAGGTCCACGGGGACCCTCCAGGGCCCCCCAACAATCGGTCTGTGTGTAAACGTGCGTGTGCGCGTGTGTAAGCGGTTGTTGACTTCGGGGAGTGCTGCTTGTTTGCAGCGGTTGGTCACGGTTGGTCTTTCTTTTGAGCCTGGTTATATAGATCGGTCCTCATTTCATGTTCGGATTGAAAGGCGGAGATTGGGAAGCCCTTTGTGGATCCCTGGGCCACATGTGTGGATGATCTGGACGGCGACCTTACAACGAATATCACCGTGGCGGGCTGGGTGAATACCAGTCGTTTTGGCAGCACTCTGTTGGTTTATAGCTGTGAAGACTCACGCGAGAATTCGGCGAACGTCTCGCGGCTGGTGTTGGTGGTGGATTCGGGCCTGCCGAGCATCGAGCTGGTGGGGGAGGCAAGGCTTTGCCTGGAGGACGGCGTCAATTACATCGAGAGGGGTGCCATTTGTGAAGATGAGGTCTGGGTGAAAACCTGTGAAAAAAGCCGCAGCTCGGTCACCAAGGGTGAATTATTTTATAGAATTGGTCGAGTCTCTTCCATTCTTGAAAACCTCACCGGTCCCTTTCAACGCTCCAGACAGGTGGATGGCAAATCACCGGCCAAAATCAGTGGTTCGGTGGATGTGGACGTCTTGGGGGACCACTACGTGGACTATTTCTGCGTGGACAGCGTGGGCAACAACTTCACGGTGCAGCGCCGCGTGACGGTGATCTCCTCCGAGATGCCTGGGGATCTGCACATGGCCAGCTTCAGTGCCACCGTGCGGGGCAGCACGGTGTCTTCTGCGCCGCAGGCGGGAGGTTCGGGAGCATCGAAAACGGAGTTCGATCAGGGCTGTGAGGTGGAGGGATTCCAAAGGAAGGGGCTAGAGGTGGAACAGATGGGTTGGGAGAGCTGTGCTTAAGAGATGTGACTATTGATGTTGATGGCTGTTGATGGCTTTTGGGTCCAAGGCACTTACACCAAAAGCAGACAAAGCACCTAGCCTCTGAGCACAACACAAGAGAGACAACTCTGACCGGTGTCCAAACACAGGGGTCCCCTAGATAGAAACGACCTCCTATGTTTTGAGGTGTTTGCTGGCTTACCATTCTATTTGCCTTAGGGTCACTATACGGCTCCGTGCAGAACACCCCAAGCACAAGTACCTTTTTGCATGTGTCTGAGGTACATTTGGCCGACGTTGATCCTCGTTCCGACTTTAGCTTCAACTGGTCGGATGCCGTGGTTGCAGGCTTGGCATCACGATGGTTTTCAGACACCCTGCACTAGTCGTCGGGCTTTTGACACGTGGATTTCCAAAAGTTATACATGAGGCCTCATGTTATGGTGTTGGCAGTCTGGGACGGGTGTTGGCAGTCTGGGACGGGTGTTGGCAGTCTGGGACGGGAGCCAAATATGCTGCAGGCAGATGATGTACCTGTAGTGTGTCCCAGCGAAAGAGTCTAGGGCCTCCGGTGAAATAAGGATAAGTCCTTGGTTCAAGGGATTGAGGGATTGGTTGACATAAGGGAAACCATGGTTTTATCCCAAAACTATGATGAAGAATGGGTCGCCTGCCCATTTTTCCCTTAAACATCCTTAAACCATTGCTGGGATTCATTCATCACGACGTGTGCGTGCGGTGTTGGGTTGCAACCGGCCAATCCCTGAGGCACCGAGGGCTGTCGATTTATCTCCATCAGCACGGGCAGCACCTTTGTCCGGCGCTACGAGGGCGTTGAGGTGTTGAATCAGTGGAATCTGCTGGATGGGGAGCAGCTGAGCTTGCCACAAGGTGGGGAAGTAGCAACACCGTGGTGTTGCGAGAATGGTTTCACAAGATATATATATATATAGAGCACCCTAGACTGAGGTTCAAAAGAACAACCTTGCAGGCTCCAACACGGTGCTGGAGGCGGGACTCCAAGACCAGACCACCTATGAGTTCTCCTTCGACGAACACTTGCTGATTTCAAGCGGCAGGACAGGCGGCAGCGCGGAGCAGAGGCTCTTGATCAGCACCGGGGACTACACTGGGCCGCGCGTCGTGCGCTCCGCGCCCCGCGCGTTCCAGAGCGCCTGGCCCTTGAGCGAGCCCTGGTGGGGGAGGTTTGGAGTGGAAGGGCGATTGAGAGTCCGGTTGGTGCGGAAAACGCAGACACAGAGGTTTCCAACACAAACCTGTCATGTGGGACATGTGAGCATCACCCAACCCAACAGCGTGGTCAACACTGATGAAAAGAACAGTCGAGGTCTGAAGGGGACTTGGGCATTAGTGACCAAGATAGGTGAACATTCCTCAAAGACCTGACCATGCAATTTGCCAACTTGTCCCAGAACAAGATGGAACAAAGGAAGCCTTTGCAAAACTGGAAAGCCGAACAGTACAGCTGCTGGTGAATCCCAGTTCCGGCAGTTGAGTGGGGTTTCAAGGTCTGCGACTCCCAGCTCCAGTGGTAGAAGTCAGCTTCATTGGATTCCGCTTTTCCACACCATTGTTTTTCCACACCTTTCCGGGCAGGATGTCCTCTTGTTGTAATTCACAGGGCTGCATCCACCAAGGAGAGCCTGTCCATCACCTTTGATGAGCCCATTTGGGCTTCTGGCAATAGTAGCCGGATGCGGATCTCAGAGGAAGAGACCTTGGAGGAGGCAGGTCTTCTGCCTCACTGCACAGTTAAAAGAGACCGGAACCGCATGTTTTGCACGTTTACATTGATTTTAGGAGGGTGTTTCAGCGGAATGTGCAAACACCATGAAGTGCCCTGCCCTAGGTCAGTGCCCCAAAGTTGAACTTCCTCCCCAAAACGAACAGCAAACAAGCACACAGACCTCGAAAAAGCACGTGGGATGTCGGTTGGTTTCGTTGGATCTCGCTGCCTTCAGCCATAGCCGGCGTCCCTTCTGCTTGAGGTGCCGTGTGATGGCTCCACCTCTCCCAGAGGCTTTTGGATCTCCGTGGCCGGCAGCGAGTTGAAGCTCGAAATGGTCGCTACCTGGAGGGCCTGTGTGGAGGTCCAGGTGGGCCACCGACCATGGAGAGTAGCCTGGGTTCAGCAGATTCCTCGGACCCCCCAGGAAATCACCCTGGTCATGCCCCAAAACATGTTTGGGAAGTTGGAAGGCTTTGAGCACGCCGACCACAGGTGAGCGTCGACGCTGGCTGTTTGGTGGATGCTGTGTCTGCAGGGTGGAGGCTGTATCTGGTAGTGCCATGAAGCGGGAAATGAGGTATTGATCCCATTGGAGAGCTGGCCGTTCGAGCTACTTTGTTGTGAATCCATCCCCCAAACAGCAACTTTGGAGAATCCTCCAGGCTTTGATGAAGCTGGACTTGTAAAATGTACAACCCTTGGCCCTTGGCTACCAAAAAGGCAGCAAGGTGTCTCGTTGAAGCTAGGGGAGCCAAGCCGCAACTGACCACACGTCAGCTTCGGACTATGACGACGCTCCTCCTTGTTTGTTACCAAGGATGCCTCCGCCAACCCCTCCGAGCCGCTTCAGCTCATTTTCCTCAGCTCCTGTGTTTTGACCGTCAGCCCTGACAGAGATCAAACTGGGGTGGCGATCAATAGCCCGGTGCTGTTTTCCTTTGCCGAGCCCATTGAGTTCCAAGAGAATGGCACAGGGATCGCCGTGGAGATTGCTGCGTGACTGCGCTTCATGCGTGCGCTTCACCCCAATATGTTTGCCCAGGATGTTTTTTCCCTGCACAGTGGCCACACAAATGTTTCACCCCATTCTTTTGTCTCGGGATCCTTCCTGATGCGCATCTTTGCGCGGCGCATCTTTGCTGCCCAGGTGGGGGAGAGAGAGGAGATCTATGGTCTGCAGGATTGGCCTTTGGTGTACATCTTGGGATCCACCTTGACGCTGGACCTCGCCTGCGTCACGAAGTACTGCCGCATCTTTTCCGCGCTGCCCAATGCCACACTGCGAGACTTCTCTTCACTCGGTGCCCTTGCTGGCAAGAAAACGGGGCCAATACGAGTGTATCGTATTGCATTATGGTTGGAAGGATTTGGCTGCTCTTGACCAAGGGCCATTCTTGAACTTTGATGTTCCGTGTTCGCATGTTGGTGCCCCATGTTTGCAGCCCCAGCTCTGCCCCCAAGAGTCTCAATTCCGTGAGGTTTCTGCTCCAATTTGCCGCCGCAAGAATGCAAAGGAAAGCTGCACCGTGTGAGCCTTCGGGATGGCCTACTCCTCCGCAACGGGAGCTGGCCTCCCAACGTCAATGCCACCTGGGGAAGCCATGACGTGCCAGCCCAATTCATCGAAGATCTTTGACTAGACTAGACCGAGTAGACTTGCCAAAACTGTATTTCTGTAATTTTTTGCGCTGTGTTGTTGAGAGGTGGGAACCAGTATTTCAAGAAAGGCAGCCCAAGCATGCCCAAGCTAACTTGGGTGATACGCATTTTGGTAGTTCTACATCTAGTATAGGTGGTTGTGGCAGTGAGGATCCTTATTACTTCACCCTCGAGCCTGCTGATTACACCGCTCCGACCTTGCTGGTCATGGATGTGTCGGTGACGGCCACGGGAGTGGATGTGAGGGTGCAGATTGACGAGGACGGCTCCGTGGTCTGTGCAGCACTGAGCGATGTGACTGGAGCTTGCACCGCTGACATCGAGCTCTTGCAGGTGCGCTGACGGTTGGACGGGATGTCTCGGGTCACCGGCAGGCTCGGTTTTGAAGTGTCCGGCATTTTTCCCCAGAAGTGTGAGCTGGATGAAAGACCCCAAAGACCCCAGCCGTTCAGGCCTCAATTTGCAGAGTTTGAAGCTATTCAGGTTGGGAGATCTGGGGATGGAATGTGCCGACTCTCGCAGCTCACAGCCCAGCGATCCGAAAGGACACCATAGATTTGAGCGCAGCAGGTGTACTGGGGGTACAACCTTTGCACATGGTTGGATGGATAAAGTTTGACCACTCAAATAGCTGTTGCAGCTGTGCCACGGCCAAAAAAGAACAACTCCCACAATTCCCCGCAGCGGGGCGGGATGGACCCTGAACTGTTGAACCTCCGGGGGCGGATGTTCCTGGTGATGTCTCCGGGAGAGGCGTGTCCACGTGGTCCCGTTCGTGGTCTGCCGTCAAGTCTCCGGCGTGCTCTTGTCACGGGCGACGGTCGCAGGAGTATAGCAACAGCAGCTGCAACGTGACGCGGAGCGACTGCATCCACTGTGACCCCCCCGAGCTTCGGGTGCCTTGGGCGGTGAGCGCTGAGAGGCTTTTGGCAGTTTGGGGTGGTGGAGCTGTCTGCAGGTGGGTTGCGAGGGGGGCGGATTTTGTAGTGGTTTGTCGCACAGGATGCACCCCGGAAGATTAACATGGAACCTGAAAACCACGGGGTTGTAGAGGAAAATAGTCGTCCAGAGTCCAAAGGTCCATTTTCAGCTTCCATGTTAATCTTGTTGGGTGTATGTTTTGTCAATTTTGCTTGCAGAGGGGCCTAGGGCATGGGTTGGTAGGTCAACATCTTCAGGTGGACTTTGGGGGTGCAAGGTGACCCGCTCCAATGTTCTCGATGAACGATCGAGGTGCATCACCCGGAGCAGCATGTGGGTGGACGACGGCTGCTCAGGGCGCTTTTGGCTGGAGGGTGCTGAGGCCAGGGAGAGCGGGGTCTCACCATCGGCAGATCGACCCTGTACGATGAGCTTGTGGCCTTGATCTTTCCCATTACGTTGAATGTAGACTCTCTATTAGCAAAGATAGTACAGGGGTTCTTACTTCTCAATGACTGGGTGCCTGTATTTCGTGTTGGTTTACCGCTATCACTTCTGCCTTGTCTCCCTACTTGTCTCCTTACATGTCTGCCCAGTTGGTTGCCTGCGCAATCTCCATGTTTTTTGCCGCTGTTGCCTTGTCTCCTTACTTGTCTCCCCGCTTGTCTGCCTGTCTCCTTACTTGTTTCTGCACTTGTTTGTCTGCATGATCGGCGTCTTGTCTGTCGCAGTCTCAATGGACTTTTGTCCCCCGGTGCTTTGGTCTTTAGAATTATAGTTGCTATCTGGGGTCTATGCTGGTGTAACTTTCTTTGTGCTTCATCAAGAGTCTACATTCACCATCTCGCTACCAAAAGGAACTCGAAAGGCAGCTCCGGAACTCCCTCCGAGGATTCACCTCCTCGGACCGACCGACCGACCTCCCAACACCTTTGCCCTCTCGTCTCCCGGCGACCGCAACGAGAGAGGTGGACTGTCAGAGCTCGGAGCTGGACACCACGATCCACGACGCCGCCTTCGCCTCCGTGCTCTCCGTGGGCCACCGCCACGCCTGCGCGCTGCGGAAGGAGGACCGCGCGGCCGTCTGCTGGGGCAAAGCGGTGCCTGGGCGGTGTCCGTCCGAGGCGTCCGATTTGGGGCATCGCGGCGGGTCGTTTTCGTCCAGGGTGGGTGAAGCTTGTGGTCGTGAAGACTGGCCACTATTGTTCGAAGCATGCAATTTTCAAAGTTTGACTGAATGGCAAAGAAGTCCAAAAAATATCTGACCCAGCAACAGCCAAAAGATGGGCGTGCATGTGCCATGTGCATTTGAAGGTAATCCTAAAACCTGTCAATATTTCCTTCCAAATCTTTATGAGCTTCAGAACCCCTGGGTGTTCCACAGAACCACCAGTCTCCGGTCTCCTCCCAAGGACTACATCGATCCGGTGACCTTCAGCGCGCCTGCGGGAAGCTTCAAGTCCATCGCCGCGGGCTATGTGCACACCTGCGCGGTGGATGAGGCGACTGAGCTGATCACCTGCTGGGGAAGCGATCTGCATGGCGAGACAGCCGGCCCAGGTGAAGGGGAGATTGGTGGAGCGGCTCGGGATGGACACTGGTACAGCCTAGGGTAATTTTGGCTATTTTGGAGATTCTTAGTCTGAAGTCTGTGAAGTGCAGAATTTCGTCTGTCCACCCGTCTTCCCATTCTTCAGACCATGTCGGAGATGTTCCTTCGTCGTTTGGGGAACGTCTTCACGTACCCCACATCCATCCCCAGGGGATGGGTGAAGTGTTTGACTCCCTCAGGTGGAATCTCAACCTTTGACTACGTCACCTCAGGCTATCAATTTTCCTGTGCATTGAGATCCAGCGACCACAAGGCAGAGTGCTGGGGATTGGATGATTCTGGTCAAGCATCTCCGCCGGATGTGGCATTCCTCACCATCTCAGCTGGCTATCGGCATGTTTGTGGCATTCAGTTGGCTGACTACCAGATCCTATGCTGGGGCTTGAACGACTCCCGCAGTTGTTGAGCATTTTGTTTGCATGCCTTGGCATTTTCCTCCCCAAATCGCCGCCGCAACCTCTTTTTTCTCAAGCTGTAGTCCCTCGGCTCCATCTTTAATGTTGTGTCCTGAAGAACTTTTACAAGGAGGTCTTCTGCCTGTGCCAAGGTTAAACACTGTTATTTACGTACATTTATTTACTGTTACAGTAGTCGTGCAAACCAGGAGGTCAACCAGCCCTGTTTTCTAGCACTCCCACGTGATTGGGGTTAATCCGCTTCCATTTCGATTGAGAGCTCCAGTCCCCAAGCAAGGCTCAAGAATCCTAAGGACGTGGGCCAATGCAGCCCCCCTTCTGGAGAGTTCCTCTCCCAGAGTGATCGTGGCGAGCCTTTGCCCCATGGCAGCCTCAGCTCTGGCTGGGCGCATGGCTGTGTCGTGCGCAAGAGCGACCAGGGCATCAGCTGCTGGGGCGACAACAGCAATGGCCAGACAGATGCGCCACAGGACCCGAAGGGCACCAGGCGATAGGGAAGTATGGAAAGTGATGGATTAAAGTCCACTTATAAGAATGGATCAAATTGCAGTTTCGGCGGACTTTGGACTCGTGGAGAGGTTTTGTGCAGCGACCAGGGGAGCGGCGTGGCCTAAAGAATCTTATGCTTTTGGCTCAAGGTGCCACCTCTAAGCCTGTTGTTGCGCACCAGGTGCCCCGTTTTGCGCCGTCATGCAGACAGTGAACCTTTTCTGGAAGCTGGCGGTTGAGGATTTGGGTGCTTTGGGGCATCTTCAGTTACCTGCTGAAGCCCAGCAACTGAAGGAGATTGAGGAGCCCCATATCACTCTTTTGTACTTCGGCGGACGGGATGAGAAGAAAGCTGCTCGGAAGGAGGGGATCTCATTGATGGAGTTTGAACATATGAACTTGGTTTTGGCCACCCGTCAAGGGGAGCAGGTTAGCTTTGCTGCCAATGGAGTGGTTGTGCACCCTGCAGTTGTCTTTGCAACAGTCTCACTGCCAAGTGACCTGCCGTGCAGCAACAGCCAGCCATTTTTAAAGCTTCGGGCAAGCCCAGAAGCTTCCGGCTCAATCGTCCGAACTCTTTTGGAACACTCGCCTTGTCTAACAGGAAGTGAGACTGCTCTGAAACTTCCAGGGCCAGTTGTTCTTTCTGGACGAATTGAGATGGAGACTGCCAGCCCTTTGCTCTGTCAAATCAGACGCGAACCTCGGCTACCAGATGAACACCAGGGTGCATGGGTTTACGTGAAAAAGCACTCCTCCCTGTGCTGTGCGATCGTTCACTTCCCAAGCTCCCGGGTCCGAGATGCAGCGATGGACTGTGCGCCTGCAGCAGCCTGCCGGACATATCCGCTCATTACCTTTGACATGAAACCTCATCATGAGACGCTCGATGGCGACAAGAAGGAGGTTCCCGATGCGATGTTCATCGCTTGGGATAAAAACGGGGGCTGCGGCTCCGGTAGCCGGAAGTATTCCATCACTGGAAGTGACCTCACTGCACGTGACCTGCAAGTACTGTTCGACATGGTGACCGAGCCTTTCATGACTTCATGTCCACACCGTGGAGCAGATCTGCTGGATGATTTGCTTCACAGCAAATATCCAGGTGGCACAGCAAGCGGGACAGGCTCGAGCAGTGAGGAGGTTGTTGTTGTGAGGCTGACACGCATGGCGCGCTCGTCAAAGGTTACGAACCTCCTCCTCCAGTCCCCAATCCTTGAGCCTTGCCGGCTTCGAGTGCAAGCCGCCGGAGGAGACATCATGCCCTCCTGGGCTGCTGGGGCCAAGATCTTTGTTCCGAGGATCCAGCCGCATGAGCTGGCTGAAGCAGGTGTGAAGCTGCAGGATCATCACCTTGTTGTTTACCGGAGTGATGTTGATTTGCTTCAGGCTGCTCTTGCAGAGATCCCATGTCGTCAGCGGCCAAAGCTCTCACAAGAGCAGCACATGGGGAAGCGGAAGGACCAAGCCGAGGAGGAGCCAAGCTTCGTTGTCGTGTGTACACTGCGCACGAATTCAAGCCTCGGGCCGGATTCGAGCTATGGGCTTTGAGAGATGGTGCCTTTGATTTGCTTGTATCTTGTATAGTTGTATAGCTTGGAGGCATCATGGGTGGATCCTTTTGTCGGTCTTTGGCCCACAAGTGGAACCGAACCTGTCATGAGCACGCCTCACATTTGGAGAAAGGGGAGGCCATGGTGCTGGCTTCCGGTTTCTTCAGGTTTCAGATTGGAGGCCTTGTTGCTTTGTCCAGTTTTATTTGCAAGTCACGTATGTCGTCAGCAATTGTGAGGTGTCACAGCAACAGGACACAAGCTTCAAGACTTTAAGACGCACACACACACACACACTCTCCCTCTCTCTCTCTCTATAATATATATATATATAAAACAGGAAGGTAGGTGGGGAAGGCTGGGCCTCCACACTTTGAGACTCATTCTGCCTCTTTGACCAGGACGCTCGCTTCATACAAGTGTCTGCAGGTCACTACCACACTTGCGGTTTGCATCAGGTTCTTGCTGGACAAGGGCCAGGCCCGGAAAGGATTCCACAGAAGGGATTGGCATAGATTATTGGCCGAAGTTGCCGGCAAAGCAGACAGTCTCTTTGAGAGTTCGTCCGTTGGCCTGCAAAGATTCTGGAAGAGAACTTGCATCTCCTAGTCCAAAACTTCGGAGCTTGAAATGTGGGCTCTCTGAGCCCCCTGTCCAGATGTTTCCCCGGAAGGTTTGGTGAAGAATGGCACCGTGCGCTGCTGGGGCCTCGACACCTTCGGCCAGAGCTCACCGTACTCGGCCACTTCCACTCCGTCCGTTGGGTTCGGAGGGATCGCCCTGGATGACGACTATTCCTGTGGATTGTGCTTTGATGGGGTGGCCTACTGTTGGGGCAAGGACGACTTCGGCCAGGCGAGCCCACCGACCGACAGCTTCAGCATCTTTGGTCTTCCGGATGCTGGGTAGGGAAAGAGTTCCAGGGTGAAGGTGTGCTTCGGGCGTTCGTTTTTTGGGGGGTCTGCGTGGGTGGGAACGGGTGGAGACCACAGATCACATTGTATGACATGCCCTTCAGATCCTTTCAGCCGAGTGCACTGAAAAACTGAAAGCTGTCTGAGGATGAGTTTGAGAATGTCACTTGCCAAAGTGACAGCGCTGCCAGCAGTCAGCGCATCAAGGGGATCTCCGGAGCTCGAGATGCCAGTGCCAGCGCGAGCCTGGTGTATGAGAGCACCGTGGGCTATGCGGAGGCTTTCTTAACTTTGACTGGCCTCTCTGAGGGTAGTACCTATGGCATCTACTGTACCTCGTGCGAGGGGCAGCGGAGTGATAGCATGGTAGATGGGGTGGCAAGGGAGGAATTGCCCACCCGCTCGTGGCACGTCCGTTTTGGGTGTTTGAAGATTGTTTTCGTCCGGTGGGGACTCGGGAGTGCCCTCGTCGTGGTTCTTCGTTGTGCGTCTGAAAGCATGATGTCCGTGGGACGGCTCAATGCCCAATCAAAACTGTAAGTTGGAAGATGTGCGACGTCTAATAGTCCAATAGTCCAAACCTTCCAGCACATGCGCAGTGTGCAGTTCTGCCGACAAAACGGCTCAACCACCCGGGCACAGCGTGCTCCACAGGGTTCACGGTTTGTCGCACGTCATCCACGGATGGCCTGAGGCACCGTGGAGGATGACGAAGTCCCGGTGCTCAATGTGCTGAGCAACAGCGTCATCGCGGCAGTGGGGAGAGAAGTGACCATGCCCGACAGGAGAGGTGAGACTTTTGGAGGGCAGCAGGGGAAAGCCTCACGTCTAGGGAGTCTAAGGAAAGACTGGTTCGAATCAGAGTGATTCCACCTAGAGACTGCCTCAAAAATAAGCAGTGTCATGTATACTGTATACTGTATGCATGTTCTTGCTTCTCCACCTGTTTAAGCCCCACCTTTGGAGGACTGCGCCCCAGTGGGTGGCCGTTCGGTCCGTTGCGCCGGCACACCGGGGAGCTGTTTGGCTGACGGTGGCCAGTGACGAGCCGGTCAAGGCCTATTGCGTGGCAAGGCCGGACGCCGAGAAGGGGGAGCCTCACGTGCATCCGCTGGGTTTGTTGCAGGAAGAAGTGGGGGTCAGTAGGCTGAAAGTAGGGTTAGTTGCATCTCACCTGTGAGGTGAGCGGGCCGACTTTCAGAATCCTGAGGTTTGTTCGTCTCGTTTTCGTCGTGGGGCTCTCGTTGGGCGTTCCTCGGTTCCTCGGGCCCAGCTCCAGCTTCGGTGAGGCGTGATGGCGAAGCTCCACCCACCCGGAGTGATCCTCGGCAGTCTGGCGGGACCTCGGTGGGCCGGGGACGGTGAAGTAGTGACAGGGGGTGCAGGCTTGACTGGGTGTTGGTTTCAGCTATTTCTATTTTCAACCTTTGCTTGGGATGATGGAACCCAGTTGAAATCATCAACCAGTTGATCATCTTGACCCTTATTGGAGGGCGTTTTGACACTATGCAACGCCTTCTTGAGGAGATCCTGAAATCTTCATCCTTGGGCTATGGTGTGTTGAACCTCACCAACTCCATCCTGCTGGAGAACTTGGCCTTGGATACCTCTTATGACGCCTACTGCACCGTGCGGGACCTGGCAGGTAATTGGGCAGCGGACCAGGTGCTGGCAGAGAGCAAGTTCGATTTCCATGTGGCACGTGACCTGGTTCCACCGCAGCTGCTGAGCACCGAGCCTTCTTCTGGGAGTACGGTGGTGTGCGAGGCGGATGGCTTTGAGGCCTGGTTCCAACGGGGTCAGCCGGAATGAGACGTAGGTGCCATTCCTTCTGCTGCAAGGGGGGGGTATTTTTCATTATTTGAACAGGCGTCATCGTCAGGCGGTTCCTGTGCGCAATGTTTTGCAGAATCGTTTTTGATATCAAGTTGTAACGAGGGCCCACGCCAAAGCCTCGAGGCGGGATGCAAGACCACCTTGAAGCTGATTTTCGATGAGGATCTCCACCGTGGCGTGGGGAACTTGACGGCCGTGTGTTTGAACAACCCGGGGATATGTCTGGACCTCGACCTGCCCATGGAGACTGAGACCAGCACGCATGGAAGCTCCAGCATCTTATTCAATGAGCTCACCGTTCACTTCACCACACCCTTGACGGATGCCTCGAACTTCAAGGTCGTCATTGACTCGGGGGCCTTGCGAGACATGTCCGGAAACCCGGTGAGTTTGGATGAGACCTGCGTAGATTGGATCCCTGCCACGGCCAAAGATGCGCTGCCAGACGCCTGTCTTGGGACCTTCGCCTTCTGGACTCCCTCCTAAGCGCGACCGAGTTCAGAGACGCTGCGACAGCGGCCGCCGGAACGGCGGCGGAATGACCGGCGTGGAGCACCGCCGAGGAGGATCCAAGCGCCATGCCGAGCTGGGCTTGTGATGCTTGAGCTGAAGCTATCCCCGGTGCGGAAGGACACGGACAAGTGAAGTGCCCGACATGCCGAGCAGCAGCAACGGCTCTTTAAGAGCCAATTGCGAGTCGCCATTCAAAAAGCGGATTGCTCCTTTGATTCATGGTTTGATCCCGATCTGTTTGACGACTAGTGAGTTTGATGTGCTTTCACTTGCACCACCTTTACATCAGTAAGCCTTGGAAGACCGTTCTGGCCTTCGCTCGCAGGAAGGACCGAGACAGGACCCATGTCGAGGTGCGCCAGAGCCGGAATTGAGATCAGGATTTGAAGCCATCTGGTTATGGAAGGTGGTGCCCGCTTAGAGAAGGCTTGTGTGGCCATGAGCTTCAATTTTTTGAGTCATTGATAGCGAAGTTGCACTAAGATCCAGTGGGGGTCTTGCAAATTTTTGGGTGAAATCCAGCCCCTCTCGCGGCGAAAGTTCCAGTGGAGCCATAAGAAGCAGGCCAGGTCTTGCGCTACACATTGACTTCCTCCTTTATATATATATATATATAAGTTATGCAGAGCCCACAGACACCCAAAGCCACCCCGAGGGCAGAAACTTTTGAAGAGATTGATCGATTTCTTGTGGAGGAGCCCAGCGTGAGAGCGGCCCGAGGAGTGAGCGGAAAGACGATTTCGGAGACTTCGTAATGCCAGGAGCTACTAGTAGCTTCCTGTTCCTAGTAGCGATGCCCTTTGTTACTATAGTAGCTTCTAGCTACTATAGATTTTCCTCCCAAGGTCTGGAAGAGTCAACTTGGTCGTAAGGCCAGTCCATACAGCGTATAAAAGATGGTCAGCCACCCTCGGGACCCCCCATCATTTTGCATTCCACATCAAGACCTTTTGACCAACACCTCTGGAAAATCACATGGTCAGAAGAAGCCAAACCGAAAAGAACGCGAGGACCGTTTGAGAAGGCCCCATGGACCGAAGCAGATGGTGGGTTGTTTTCGTGGAGTTCCGGTGTTCAGCCACAGTCAGGACCTGGTCAAGCAGCACGCCAACGATGGCAGGTGAGACTCAAGAATCACATGCCGCTGCGGGTCAGGTGAATTAAAACACTTCCATAATTTTCCCTTTGAAACTTCTGGGATCCTGGATCCTTGGGAACTCTTGCAAGGGACCGAACTTGCTGGTGGGCCGTGTGGGGGTCATCCAACGTACCAAAGATACAGGCTGTGGGGCCTTTGGGCCCTCAGCTTTGCCGTTGGAAAGGCTCGAGCAGTACAAAACTGCATTGCAGTGCAGCTTCCCCTGATCATTTCTAAGGGCAGACCACCTCTTTCCTTGTCACTCCTCCGATCTTAGTCCGAATCAGCCTCCCAAGCCTCACCAAGCCCAATCCACACGCAGCCCAGCTTCCCTGTCACACACATATCCTTTCCCATGTGCTTTGCTCATGGGTGCAGTGCTGGGCCTCTTGGAGTTGGATGCCCGTCTCCTGGTCCTTTGCGGGCCCACGTCCTCAGCACGCCTTGCGTGTGCCTCCGCCGCATGCGTGTCCACGCTGCCGGCGGAAAGGCGCCGGGCAGTGCAAGCTGCCCAAGGGGTCGAGGAACCGGAGCTGGTGGAGCATGGGCCGCTGCCAGTGGAGGCGTGGCGGGGAGAATGGCCACATGAACCCTCTCTGCCACTGGATGGGCGTTCTTCCTGCTTCATTCTCATGTAATCGTCTCTTGTAGGTGACGGTGTCATGGAGTTTGGTGCATAGAAGAAGTGACCGCTCACTTCTCCCCTAAGCAGGCACTAACCCAGGCACTCCGCACTGCTTGCCCCGAGCTGCTGGGCGACCGCACCTGGCTGCATCTTCTGCAACCCTTGTGCAGCTCTCCGCCGCCCGATGCGGCTGCCGACGGCGTGCTGGCTGCCGTGGCTCGGCGCCCAGCGCTCGCCGGCTGCGCGGCGGTGTGGGCCGCAGCACTGGGGCGTCGCGCGCTGGCCGTGGAGCTGCAGGCCATGGCGCCGACCGAACCGCGGCCAGCGGTGCTGCGGAGCATGGAGGAGACGGGAAACGTAGAGCAATTCTTTGAAGATGTGTTGGAAGGACGTTGCTTGGCCTGCAATTCCGATTTGGTGGGTTCTTCCGGTCGTTCAGATTGTTTACATGACGGCCCCCCATGTTCAACAGCTGAGGCTTAGTCAGTGTGATCCTGCACCTGGCGCGTGGCGTCACAGTGGAGGCGACTGGTCCGGCCATCCACCGGAACGACGTGGGCTGCTGCCGGTGGACTCCTCTGGCGGCCGCGGCCGACTCGGCCGCGCGGCGGACGCAAGGCGAGTCCGTTCGGTTTCGCGCTGCTCGCAGCGCCGGAGCTTTCGGGGGTTTCGGGAAAACCGACAGAAACCAGGATGAAACAGGTCATGTACAGTGGTTTCAGAGTAATTAGATGATGCAATCTCCAAAAGGTGGTTCATAGGTTAGATGGATCCCCTGTAGACATCTTGGGGTTGGTGCCATACTCTGAAATGGCTGTAAAGCTGAAAGATGTTCCATGTTCAAGAGAAGGTTTCTGCTTTTTGAAGCCTATAGACTTCTTGACTGAATATGTTTGGAGATGCTGGCGGAAACTCATATTGCACCATACATACCAAACATATATATAGTACGGTAGCTTATTTTAGAAGAAATCGGTTGTGAATAT